CGTCAAATTAGAGTTTAGATTATCTCTCTGAAGTTAATTTTATCCTATCTTCAAAATCTCAGAAGAGAGTTCTCTCCATTTTTCTGATGTGGTAAAGCAAATAAGCATGATCCTATGACATTCTACTACTCTGTGCTGCATTCAGTCACGTCCGACTCTTTGTGACCCCTTGGATGGTAGCCCACCATGCTCATCTGTCCATGGGATTCTCCAGGCAAGAATAATGGAGTGGATTGCCATGTCCTCCTCCAGGGAGTCTTCTCGACCCAGGGATCAAACCCGAGACTCTGGCAACTCCTGCATTGGCAGGCGGTTTTTTACCACTAGTGCCTCCGACACTATCCTACCATTGTTTTCTGAAAGGGGTCGTGTTTCCTTTCTGATTTGTAATTAAAAGGAAACAGCCCTGAAGGAGGACCACATACTCTGAGCCCTGACTATGACCAACGTGATGAGAATACAAATACAGACACTTGAGCTTCTGTCGCTAAGTCACCATATCCCTGCAGGGTGGCCCCACGCCTGCCAGGCTTCCTCCCATCATCTGGACTTGTGTCCACGTGAGCAGTTCAGCCCGGCCACCCCTGGGGCTGCTCTCACCTGGAACGCTGCTCGGCTCTATGACCTCCCTCTCAGTTCCGTAAGGAAATGTGCCAAAGCTGCTGCATGGTCTAAGGTCCCTAAATGCATCCAGCCTGCCATGTGTGACCAGGGCTTGCAAGTCTAGCCAGTGGTTTCGGTTCTGCAGCTCTAACTTTCAGCCTCCTTCATATTTCTGCTCAAAACTGCTAAAGAGCTGGTCTGTCCAGGTCAGTTGTCTCTCTGGAATCATGGTTGAGACTGTGTCCCTTCCCGCTGCGCCTGCAAGGTCCCGTGGGCACCATGCCGAGCAGCTGATGTCCTCTGCCGTGTCATGAAGCGGCCACTTGGAATCCCCCTCTCCACCAACCCCGTCGTCTCACAGAGAAGGAAGTAGGCTCTGAACAGAGCTGCCGAGTGACAATCCCGCAGTCTTCAAACCTTTGTCGGTGAATCTCAGTTTTTGTAAAATAGTTCCCTCTGAAGTCATACCTGACTGGATGTCAGAGTCAAGTGATGAACCGTAGCGACACAGTCTTCCTGACTCAGAGGAGCTCACTGTCATCTCCAAAGCCATCAGCTCACCCCAGCAAAGGAAGGGCTGGTCCTGCTGCCTTCGGAGTGTTTGTGCGTCAGGAGACAGCGGATTACTGAAAATGCAGGACCCAGCGATAGCTTCCCACCCTAGGTCTCCACATCTTTTCAGCTCTCCCAGTGCTTTTCGTATCGCTCTAGTGGCTCATAGAAAAGGTACAGGGAACCTAGAAGTAAAGCAGAGTGGAGAGTCTGGTTTCCCTGTTTGCAGCTGCTGAGGGGGAGATGGGGGATTTTCCACCACTTTGTGAAACCTCTACCTCAGACCTTGTATCTCTTCAGGAGGAAGAAGGGCAAGGTCAGTGGGAGCATACCATCAGACGCTGAACTGTGAAGACACTGGGGGACAATTGTGTTTAGAAGGTGAGTAACCTCCTCTCCTACTTCCAGCTTCTTGTTTAAGTTGAAAGGATGGAGTACAAGGTGGCCCTTATTTTGTGAGATTTTACAAAGCTATTGTATAAACTTAAGACAGATACATCTGGAAGATCCCAGTTTGCTACCTCAAAGAACTGAAAGTGGTGTCTGTGGACAGGAGATGGTTTGACGGAGGTCCAGAAGCCCTGAGATGAGAGAGAGGAAGAGGAACCACAAAGCGTGTGGTGTCTGCTGAGCTGGGGGATATGCCTTTGCCCACGAAGGCCCATGTCAGAACAAGCTGAGCAACCAGCCGCACAACCAAGTTCTGTTACTCAGTGACCGGTCACCTGAGGCTCTCCCTTCTGCCAAGGGTGAGAGAGAAGACGTGTGCAGACCCACCTCATGTAACCCCAACAACACACACAAGACATCAATGCTGTTCCCACAGAGAAGATAAAGGAAGCGTGAAAGTTTGGCCAAGAGGCACTGTCATAGGTGAATGAAAGTTCTGATTCACCAGCTCTGCTCAGACACATCATATTCAATACATATCTATGACATGACAGTTCCCTAAATTCACAACTACTGGAGATAATACAGGAGTTTGTGCATGTTAGAAGTTGACTGAACTGTACTCATGTTACTTTAGCAACACAACTGAGCATTTGTGTAGCAAAAACCCCAGTTATCACCTAACACCCACATAGCATTTGCACGCTGAAGAGTGTTTTGCAGGCTTCCTCTCATGAAATCCTCACAACAGTTAATGGGATCAAATTACTCTTACCCCCACATTACAGATGAAGTAACAGAGGTGCTGACTGATTCAATAATTGGGCAATGTTTCCCTTTCTACAGTTAGTAATGGAGCCAAATATCCAGGATCAAGTAAAATATATATATTTTTTAATTGTAAAAGGGGGGAGCCCAAGTTCTGGATCAGAGCGTCCAGAATTGCGTTTTGGTTTTCTTGCCTTGGAATCCAGCCTTTCTGCCCCCTGAGGCCACATAGTGCAATAGTCACCCTGCCTCTGGGCCTCTGTCACAGATACCATTCTATGGGTATGTGTGTGTTCGGTCACTCTGTCATGCCCAACTCTTCCAACTCCATGGACTTTAGCCCTCCAGGCTCCTCTGTCCACGAAATTTTCCAGGCAAGAATACTAGAGAGGGTTGCCATTGACATCTTCAGGGGATCTTCCTGATCCAGAGATCGAACTTATGTCTCTTGCATCTCCTGCACTGGCAGGCAGGCAGAGTCTTTACTATGAGCACCACTCTAGCTCAATCAACAGATCCCACTATCTCATTATAAATCATGACTATCCTCTCTCTGGCAGGAAAGTTGGTTGGGAAGTGAAACCATGATTAATAACTATTTTCTTCTAGTTAATAAGAGGAAAATTCTGGTCTTAAATACAAAGTTTAAATACTTAAAAAATATTAAACCACAAGCCCCTTTGTATAATGAATATTTTTTCTCTCTGTAATGCCAGGCATTTTGCAGATAAAGACAAGATTTTCCACTGTTGGCTGGATAATTTGATAATACACTTTCCACATAACGAGGGATTTTCAGCTCATTTCTAATCAAAAGAGTATTACTTTATCAAGTCACAATAGAAACTCTTATGTCAGCTTTTGCCAATGATCACTCAGATCTTTATGCTTAAAGATCCCCCCGTGATAGCATACAAGGCTGCAATTAAATGGAATCTTCTTAAACAGGGGGAAACAGTGCCATTCTGTAAGTCCCTGTCCTCAGTGACTGAAGGGTCATCTGTTGAGGGATACAAGGCCCAGGGGCTCCAAGCTCTTACAACTTTCCCACTGAGCCACCCAATTCTGCTATTTATCAAAGAAGCCTAATGAAGTCAGGGACCCATTGGCCCAGTTCCTCGGATGAGCTCCAGAGACTCCTGCACAAGTGGAATTGGAATCGAGCTGGTTGGCGTTTATCAGAGCGTGATGATCTCCTGACCCTCGTATCAGACTTGCTGTGGCTCAAACACCCAGAGGCAGTTCAGTGAGGAGGGGCTGGTGGGGAGCAGAGAGGGAGGGCCCTGTGGTGCCCCTGGAGTGAGGGGAGTATCTCTGCCCTGACTGGCACTTTAGTTATATGACAAAGTTGATGAGCTTTGGGAACACACTGTCTGTTCCAAAGAAGGCAACAAAAGGCTTTGCAGAGCCTACCTTCTCTCCAGTTACGGTAAACCTTGAATGTGCAAGGCAAGTGGTGAGCACATACAGTCTCTATGCAGCTCTCTCTACCGTGTGAGGGCAAGAAAGGACGGAAATCACATTTTCCGTCCTTTGTGTTTGAGCATTTTTTGACACATAAAAACACTATAGGAAATTCCCCAAAGGATAAGACAATGATCCACGGGTGGGGCATCTTCTGGGGTGTGCAATCTGGTGATTTCATATCCTTTTCACTTGAGAGGTTCACAGATTTTTTAAAATCTCATCCAAATTCTTTACCTTATCCGCATGTAATAAGAGTTTCCTGCCATTTGATTGACTCATTTCAAAGTTAAGAAAATAATTCCATCAATGCCTCTAAAACCCTGCACTAGTGACAGGTGCTAAAAACGATGGGAAATGCTCAGCAGTGTTTGCTACTCAGTGATACCCTGTAAATGTCTGCGTGTGGTTCCCACTGCACACTTGGGGTGTCTGTCACAGACACTTGTACAGATTTCAGCGGGCACATGTAACAGTGTTGAGCTCTGGAGGACTCGGAGACCATGCAATACTTTTGAGAGGGGCCCAGAAGAATGGGTACAGCCACAAGGCAGCTCTGATCTGAGCTTGTCTCATATAAAGTGGAGTTGATCAGTCTTACCACTCAGGACGCTTGTAAGGACTATACAGTCTCATCTACTAAAGCAACATGCAGGTTTTGGGTGTGCTGTGGGTGAATCCCTGAGTCTTAACCAGGGGGAGGTGGCCAGACCACTCAGCGGTACCTCCTGCATTCAAGGACCCTCTGGGCAGGGACACAGGTCAGCCAAGTACTGCCACTGGGCCAAATCCCATTGCCCAGGCTTGCCCAACTCCTGAGAGTGGTTTCTACATTATTAAATGATTGGAAAGAAACACAAAAACATCAGAAGCAGAATGATATGTTGTGACACGTGATTATATGAAAATTAAATATCCGTGTCCACAGACAAAGTTGAAAGGGGCCACAGTGAGGTCAGGTGATGACGTCCTGTCTGCATCTGCTTCCCCTCTACACCTGCAGAGCAGAACAGGGTGGGGTGATGGGGCCGCCACAAATACACAGAATCTAAGCCCAGGGACCAAGGGCGCTGAGGGCAGTGGGAAGGTTGGAAGGAAAGATGTTCTCGAGGCCACACTAACCCCAAAGACAGAGCCTGATCTACCAGGACAGAGTGTGGTGTTTTGGAGGGGCAGCAGGGCAGGGAGGGAGGAAGAGAGAACTGTTTCCCACCACCTGGTACCTGCAGGCAGGGGCAGTGAGCCCACCCCGGAGGTCCTGGAGACCCTCTGCAATGCCGGGGTTATATCCTCACCAAAACACCAGAGGGCCTTGTCCTTCCTGCCTTGTGTTTCAGAGGAGATTCCTACCAGGATGTCAGTCATGCTGAAGATACATTGTTGAAACACAGGATAGAGGTTATGCTTGCTATGGGCTCCTTCCCGCATCTCACTCAGCCCCGCTGACCACCAGATAAGGGAACCACTCTTCATGTCCGCAGGCATTGACGAGCTGCAGAACATTACATAACCTTCCCCAGGTATATAACTGACAAGTGACAGAATTAGGACTGGAATTCAGGTCTATTTGACTGGAAAAAAGATGGGTTTTTAGCCACAAAATTGGAAGAAGTCTTAGAGGTAAACTTGTCATTCCTTCTTAATTTTTTAGAAAAGGAAACAGAAACCAAAAAATAAAAAGTTCAATGGCTGGCTCAAGGTCAGGCAGTTTTGGGCTCAAAGAAAAAGGACAGAACTTGAGCTGAGTAAGTTCGTGTAGTGTGTTACTACTGTTATATCCAGTCCCCTTACGGGTCACCAAGTGGCATCTTTAAAAGGAAAAAAATGAGGTACAGTTGATTTACAATGCTGTGTTAGTTTCAAATGTACAGCAAAGTGATGAACCACACACACACACGCGTGCATATTACACACACACACACACAGGTATTCTTTTCCGATGCTTTTGTACATCAAATGGTACCTTTAGATACTTAAATTTAGAATGTCAAAAAGTGTCATATGCTCCTTCTCACTGGAACAACAGCAATAAAAATGATTTCCACTGAGCCGATAAAATCTGCAGTGTACTATAAGGAAAACACTACCGACATCATTTTTACTGATGCTGAAATCAGTAGCAAGCCATCAAATTAGACAGTTTTTAGCTGCAATGAAACAAACACATTTTATTTGTTTTTACCTATTTCTTATGAAATGTATTACTGCATTTTTTCTTTCCCATAGAAATTAATCCTCTGACCTTGATGTTTAAAAACTGTATAATGGCTTGCTAACTCAAGACGCCATCAGCTTCTATCTCTTGCATTTAAATATTCAGTAACTATAGTACACCACGTGCCTCTAAAAGTAATTTCTTTATGGTGGCATTGTGCATTTTGACTATCCATTATACATCTGAATACGGCTTTGCTCAACTAAGCAATTTTCTTTAATGTCAACCTTGATGAACAAGTAAGCATTAAGGCAACATTTGAACACTAAAGTAATACATGGGTAAACAAATCTAAATAAACTAAGCTGGGGAAGACATCATAATTAGTTTCAGTGCCTGCTTTGAGTAAATTTTCTTCCAAAATTCCATATGTGTTCTTTAATTGTTACTTTACCAGAATTCATTTAAGAAGCATCCTGCAATTAGCTATAACAGATTTTCCAGAACTAAAGTTTTGGTAGATAAAATTCAGCAGAGTTTAATGGATTTATATGAATACAAAAGAAATTTTATTTTTTATTTTTATTAAGTCAATTTTGACCTGCAAATGTTTTCAGAGTTGTCTTTACAGGTCAGTCTTTGAGAATGTAGTATAATTTATAAGACATTAATAAATGAAATTCAAGGTAATAGCAAGACTTAAAAAAATATAATCCCAATTGGTGAATGGTTTAGAGTCTCAAGATCTAACAAAACTGACATTTGGATATTTTAAATGTATTTTACCCAAGTTACTTCAATTTTTATCCTTCCAAATAACAGTAAACTATTAAATAATATTTCATAAAATCAAAACTACACCATAAGTTTGGTGTCATTTAAATCAAGATAAACTAATCTCTTTTAAAGTAAATGTTTTCATGAAATAAATTTCATGGAAATAATTTAAAAACAAAATGTAGCATAAAATGGTAAATATTTTTAACTTGTGTTGATCATCAGGACTAATTAGTACAACTAATATTACTAAGCTCAGCAGTTTTGGGAACATTTTGGGGGAAGAAAGAATGTTGAAGCAGAGCTGAGTATGGGAAAATTTAAAAAAGAACATTAGTAAGTATGAAATTTTTTGGTTTCCTTTATAAATGTTCTATCAGTAACAGACCTATTCTTATGTGAATTTAAAAGAACTTTAAATTGTATTATACTATAAGCTACATTTTAATATTTAAGTATTCAAATTATTATATAACTTTTAGAAATGAGTATAGCAGTTTTAGAGGAGAAAAAAACTTTTAAGAAATAACTGAAACGTGATATGTTTGAGAGAAGTTAGAAAAACAGTTTTGTACAAAATGAGTTTTTGTCAATGTATAAAAGTGGAAGGGATGGAACATAGAAAATGTATTCATGAAACCACAGAAGTCTTAAACTGCACCCACTGGGCTGAGAACACACAGAACTTCAGGTGGGTGATTCAGCAGGAGACCCCCGCAGGCAGAACATGACCTCTGAAAGAGCAGCTCCCTGACAGCTTGCCCAAGAAATAGATCTCTAACTTGATCTTCCACAACCCCCACTAATCTGTGCAAAGCCCTAAGCTAAAATCTAAACATAAAATGATACACACATATGAGATACTGTTAAGATCTTACAGAAAACCCAGAAGAACCTTTTGGCAAACCCAATATTTCCTGAATGTGTAAACTGTAATTGTTATCTGTGCAAGTTGTTGATGTTTGCATTCATTATTGAAACAAATTTTATAATTCTATTACTACACACCCCTTCATACCCACTGTCTCTACTTTATTCAGGTGCACCTATTTTACTAACTAGAATTTCAAATATTTATTACATTCCTAATGATGATGTCATAGGGCAGTGCTATCTATCAGAAATATAACACAAGCTCCCTTCTTATTTTAAATTTGAGGCTGTCTCACTGAAAAGTAAATGCAACAATGACAAGTGAAGTTAATTTTAGTAACATTTTATTTAACCTAATGTATCCAAAATATGATCGCTGCATTATGTTATCAATATAAAAAGTCTACACCCTCACGCTTGGCACAAGGACCTTTCATAGACTGGACACCAGCAACCTCCCCACCGTCATCTTTTACTTCTTTCCTCTCTGTTCCCTGGGACTTTGTACCATGTGCTTCTCTCAGTGCTGAGTTCACTACACAACTTTGCCCTGGTGCTGTTGGCCTCAGTTAGATCACATGCCCATCCTTTTCAGAGCCATGCCAAACTGACCCTCTGTCGCCCAAGTCAACTCTGCTACCACCCATGAAGGCTTCCTGCCTTGTCCACTTAACAGCGTTTATTGAAAGTGAGCTCTGTTCACTCTTTTCCAGATGTAGGGGTAAGACAATGAAAAAGAAACCCCCTTCCCTCCTTGGACTTATTTTCTCTCCAAAGTCCATCATATACAAAGATTCTGACACATCAACCACTTTTTATTATGGGTTCTAGCCACTTTATGCATGACTAAGCCTCACTTCTGAATGAAGAGATCAGTTAGAACAGATTTTTCTCTGATCAATCTTTTTACCATGAAGTTACTTCAGTGGGCACATACCAACTGTTCAATAAATATTGGATAGAGAAAAAAAAATCAGTGATAATTACATAATTATTTGAAGAAAATTCTCAATATATTTCACTAAATCAAGCTTCCAACTTGCTGATTCTTTCCTATGCAAATAAATCGGTAGAATATTTACAGCCAAGTTTCTTTGTTTGTTCCTGATATTTATGTGTTGAGTTTTGGAAATTTCCATCTCTTTATTTTATCCCCTTTTTCTTTGGCTCACAATCCAATTTGATTGAGTAACTTCATTCATAAGGCAAATCAACTAAATCTCAGTTTAATAAAAAATGCCCATTATGTATGATTCTCTCATTACTGACATCAAATACTTGAATGCAATTGTCTGCATGTTTTTTACATAAATTATGCTTCATGAAATACTTTAGATTTTGTGTTCTTTCCTGCATAATGTAATAATCAACATCTTTCAGTTGAATATCATAGTTTAATACCACCAAAGAAGTAGATAATATTTTCAAATACAAGCAAAGTCAATGTGTTATGCTTAAAATATTACCTCTCAGGAGCAGATTTATCAAGAGCAGTTCATCATGCAAATCATTTTAGTCAGTGAGCAGCTACAATTTGAAAGGATGAGTACAAAGGATATGGATGTCCTTTTAATGAGAAAGATGCTATTCTATTTAATATGGAACACTGGGCAAGGTAATAGGAGCTGTATCAGCCTCTTCTGCAGGAATGGTGGGAATGTTCTATATCTTTTGTGCAGCGCAGTAGCTGCTGGGCACGCATGCTTGTCAACACCTGAAAGATGATGCATGTGACTGAGAAAATAAATTTTAAATTAAATTCAAATCTAAATAATCAATGTGTCTAATGATTTCCATATTGGACAGCATAGTGTAACTAAATTAGACACCACATGATAACATATACTATCTCAGGCATTTTCCAAAAAAAGGCTTAAGAATCAGCAATTCTCCCTAGAGCACTTCTGCTGTGGCTATGGTAAGAAGCAGAGATCGACATATAAGAAGCCCCTAAGCGGAGAAGCATCTAAGGTGCCCACAGAGCCTCTCGCTGCCCAGCCTTGATATTCATGAAGTCCTCTGATCCCCTCCCCTGAAGTGTGGGCGGGACCAAGGGCCTCATTTCTACTAACTAGAATATGGCCAACATGATGAAAATCACTTTCAAGATTCAGTCCAGTTCAGTCGCACAGTCGTGTCTGACTCTTTGCGACCCCATGAACTGCAGCACACCAGGCTTCCCTGTTCATCACCAACTCTTGGAGTTTATCCAAACTCATGTCCATTGAGTTGGTGATGCCATCCAACCATCTCATCCTCTGTCATCCCCTTCTCCTCCCACCCTCAATCTTTCCCAGCATCAGGGTTTTTTCAAGTGAGTCAGCTCTTTGCATGAGGTGGCCAAAGTATTTGAGTTTCAGCTTCAACATCAGTCCTTCCAATGAACACCCAGGACTGTTCTCCTTTAGGAGACTGGTTGGATCTTCTTGCAGTCCAAGGGACTCTCAAGAGTCTTCTCCAACACCACAGTTCAAAAGCATCAATTCTTTGGTGCTCAGCCTTCTTTATAGTCCAACTTTCACATCCATACAGGACCACTTGAAAAACCATAGCCTTGACTAGATGGACTTTCGTTGACATAAGTAATGTCTCTACTTTGAATATGCTGTCTAGGTTGGTCATAACTTTCCTTCCAAGGAGTAAGTGTCTTTTAATTTCATGGCTGCAA